GGCTGGATCAGGTGACCCTGAGCCTTCCCTTAGTTATGCTGCTATAGGCCTAGGCTGCTGGGGGGGCCCATGATGCTCTTCCCGTCCTTAAGCTTCTAGAAATAATTAAATAAATATGTGCCACTGTGAAGCCTTGACTCAAACATTGAGATTAACATTAGTAACCACACAGACAGATCAGCTGTTTGATATTGTGTTAAGTTTTATTGCTGTTGGTTTAGTCGGTAGTGATGAGCACAGCAAGCAGCATGGAGACCCTCACAGGGGTCAAAGGTCAATGAAACACAGGTGACATCATCAGGACTAAATTAAGTCTTTCATTATTGACTCTCAGTTTATGGCTGGTGACTAATTAATTTTGAGCCCTGAGTGTCGTTACTAACAGCTTTTAATTGATTCAGCTACATATCAGCTAATTGATTGTCTAATCTACAGCTACATAGATGGAAGACAGCAGTTTATAGGAAGTCACAGGACCACAGTTACAGTAAAAGGGTCAACACTGGCATGAATGAAGTCACTGTGTTTGGGCTGGAAACATGGACACAACAGTTTTTGGTGCTCTTTGCTGCAAAAGTACATTTTAGAGTGAACACATTTGCTGCTGATGATGCACTTTCCATTAGATTTTAGCTAAGAGCCTAATTCTACTGGGGAAAACATTCTTCCAAATATTACACATCATATTTAAGGGTATAATTTTGACTCAGCCTGATTATCTGTACATCATCTTATACATTTTCTCTACAGTCAGCACACGGGAGCAACACTGATCATCTTGCCAAAAACTGGAGATGGTTCCCTAACCCGAACATAAGTCTCAGCTTTGACAAGGGAGGTTAGCTAAGTTGAATCGAAGGTTCAGAGGTCAGTTTTCGTTAATTAAATTTTTAAATTGCATATTTTAACGTGGATATACTTTAGTTCCCTTGTTAATTCTACTGAAATTTGTGATTTACTAACTAAGACACAGACTGTAAACACAGCACAACCATGGACATTAATATAAATTGCATTTAGATTTTGTCTGTGTATTGTTTAGAATTAGAGCCACTGCTAAGAAAGAAAACCTGAAATATTTTGAGCATCAAGTTGTAATGTTAATAGAAAACAGGTATATCAAGAATAAAGTAGTGATATGTCAAGAATACAGTAACAATATTAGGAGAAAATGTCATCATATTATGGAAAATATTTTCCTTAAGAACAAAATGATTTTGTGGTTGGATTGGAAGTGTGGGTGTTTCCTGGAAGTGCACATTGTTCCTACTGTGCAGGAACAATTTTTAATATTAGGACATTTTTTCTAATATGCACATTTTATCCAAATATTTTCTTTATTTTCAAAAAATGTTATACACTGTATATTTTCTTAGTTTCAAACTTAAAGGTGCTCGAAGCGTTGGTGTTTGACAACTAAAATAAAGTAAAATTAGCCATAAAGTCGTGAGCAAAACAAAACCAGGCTCTAACAAGGCTACAGAGTTGTGTGATAATTCTGTGGTAAACACAAAAAAAACCTTAATGATTACAAAACAAATGAAAGTTTCTTTAGCACCAATTCTCCTTTAACAACATCCAAATTAAAATGAAACTACAAACCTGCTGGTACCGTAGAGTAGAGCTATACAACTGGTATAGTCACCAGTCTGTCTGTAATGTGAGAGACCAACCAGTCAAATCTGTTAAAAACCCTAAATATTCACCTTACTAATTAGAGTTCAGCACACATCTTTATCTATACAGTCTTACGGTGCTTTATGGGTTTGAATCAAAAATACTGTCGCAACGGCGGGGGTGGCGTTAGAAGAGCACACAGAAACATCTGATTAACATACAGTTGTTTTTTCACATTGTTTTTTTCTTAGCTTCTCTCGTCTTAAATGGCAAAATGCAGATGTGTATCTTTTTCACCCTCGAACCTGCCCAGGCTCCAGCCCAGAGACCGGACACAAACATTTAGAAAATAATCATGCGACAACCTCATTTTAAAAGTCAATGTCTCCATTTAAAGTTTGATCAGTTGTGTGGGTTTGTTTGTTGCATCACCGATGTTGTTACCAGTGGCACCGGAGTCACAGGACTGAGCTCCACACCAACATGTGGTACCTGATCTGTAGCCAAGCCAACAGCTCCACTGTGCAGCTGCAGCTCAGGAGCCTTTCCATTATTAATTAGTCTGATATTTTGTTTAACCAGGGAACAATAGTCAACAAACCCAACACGGTCCAATTTAAATGGAACCTGACCGTGTTTACAATGATGTCAACTCCAAAATGTTGCAGAAGTTTATTACTGGCTGCAGCATTAATGCCAGACGCTGTCGCATTGACTCTGTATTTGCAGAGCTGGCTTTATTCTTTATGTCAGGCTCTGAGCGGGTGGGGGGGTCTGAGGGAAGAACACTGATCTTCAGTGAAACAGATGGAAAAAAGCTAAAATCATCTGAAGCTAAACTTCTTCAAACACTTAAGCACTTTGAGAATTAGAAATCAAAAGAGTAAAGAAAAGAATTTTCTGTAGTATGTTCAGAGCTTCAAAGCTTCAAAGGCCTTAACAACACTACATCGCAGCAATCCCGCCAAAATAAAAGCTCTGCTGCTCGCTGCTTGTTCACATTAGCCAGTCAGACACCGCTTAAAGGCCTCTTTGTACCAAAGTACAGGAATATAATGCTTCTTAGTGGGTGCACAGCCATGAAAACATGACACTTTAGGTCCATAAACCTCCCAGTTGTACGGTAGCCTGTTGCCAGTTTCTTTATTCCAGTAAGGAATCCTGCATTTCAGATTTTCTGTGTCTGAAATTTGTACTGGTGTTGGAGAGCCTTTAAAGCTGCAACATGAAACAGGATGAGGGGGAAATGTTTCTATAAACACTTCCCACAGTCCCCTTCCTCATTTGCATAATTTTTGTTTTGAATGTCAGAGTGAGATGAGGTAGCCTGAAGCTGGTCGCAGCCGATATCGCTCTGTGTTGCTCGTGTTGGCCGGCTCAGTGTGAACAATCAGCGGATCATCATCACATTTACATACTGCATCAAATATAGCTTCAATATATATGTATCATACTGTATACATCAGCAAAATAAAAGGCTCGACAAAATAAACGGCTGATACAATCTGTAAAATAATACACGATTTCTAACATGATCCTTTAGTGTCAGCAACAATGTACAAATGTATGTTGTCTACTATAGCTTACATTCCCATCATTGTTTCCCTGTGATAGGTGGATGGTGAGTGGTTGCTAGGAGACAGAGCTGTAGACACACACCCACAGACTGCTGATTGATGGGATTAAAACTGGAGCCGTACACAGGAAGTCCTGCAGCGCTCTGGGACTGGCTGGTCAACTGTACAGACTACAACCTAAGGCAACGCCTGGCATCACACCCTGTCCTCCAGCTCTCATCGCTCCATCAGCAGGTAAATACTGATCAATCCCTAAAGTCACGTCCTGTTTCTTTAAAACCTAAACCTAATCGACTCGTGTTCTGGGGCTGCTAATGAGTGTTGGGTAAAGTGAACAAAGCAAACCTCTCTAAAAGGTTCTGAAGCCACCCTGGGTTTGTGAAGCTGATACAACCCTGGTCCAGGATCAGCTCTGCAGGGGGAGCATCTGTTTGGCACTCGATTCAACCTGGGGGGACGCAGTACCAAGCCTGACCCCGGACCTGATTCTCCCACAGGCTAGAAACTGTCCAGGAGGAGGTCGGATCCAGAATATGAAGGGATTAAAGGTCAGATCCAGTGTGAGTTTAGCTTTTTATCTGAGGTTTCATCTCCTGACTTTAGTTTGTGTTTGTGTCCATAGACTGGATGAGTGTGTGGTTGGTCTGCTGGGCATCACAGGAGATACCAGGTATTGTTGGTTTGGTTATTAAGAGAAAGATGATTTCATACCTGAGCCTGGTCACTGATACTCTACACCTGCTGATGGAAAGTACTTAAGTTCAACTCTGAAGTACTTGTACTTTACTTGAGTGTTTCCCTTTAATGGTACCTTATACTGTCTATAGAGAGATGTTTGTACTTCAGTCCTGTTGTCAAACACGTGTGGAACGAAACCCCCATAAAATTCAGCAAACGCCGAAACAGGACTTCTGAAAACTCACAAAGGACACTCAGACATGGAAACTTTTTCAAGTGTCCTGAGAACTAAAGTGGAGGTTTAGGAATCCCACCCCAGGTTTCTCCAGTGGCGAGGGCCTTTTCTCACGTTTGACCACAGAGCTGAACATCAGACGGTCTCTGCCATTTTTTAAGCCCTGTTCATTCTCTGTGGGTCAGTCCGTCTGTCTACAGTTCTGTCTTCACAGTCAGCCATTACACAAACAGCTGTTTAAGGTGCCAAACTGAAGTTAGAATTTTACCCACAAGTGTCGAGCACCAGTGTTTAATACTGAGGACAGGCAGTGTGTGTGTGATGGCCGATAATCAGCTGTGTGTTTGTTTGCAAGTCCCACCATCCCCAACACAATATTGCATTGATCATCATCCAGGATAGAAGCAGCCTAACTGCACAGCAAGATTACATCAGGTAGAAAAGCTGCCCCCACAGTAAAAGAGAATCATATTTACATGTTGTCGAAGCCCTTCACAGCTAAAGAAGCCAGTGATCTGCTGGGTTAGCTGTAAACTGGGAGAGAGGAAGCATTCGTCGTTGGTGTAGTTGGACACACCCTCCTGGAGGAACTGCCTTATTCCCTTTTCCTTTATTCTGTTACAGGAGTGAAAAACCTTTGCAGGTTTGGTGACGCCTGGAGGAGATGAGAAGACCAACCAATCAGTGCATCCAAGGTTACCCTTCAGGCCATTAATTCAAAGAGACAGCCAATTCATCAGTCAGTTCAGGGATCCATTCTAAGGCCTGGTATCAGGGGAGGGAAATCTGAAGGTCAAGGTTTTGCTGGTGAGCTGTCAGATCATCTTGTCGGAGGTGGGATGGGTGGAGATGGAATGCTGTGATTGGTGGAGCCCAGCTACATGACACTTTCAAAGATGATGACCCTGTTGTCGTCTGTGTCGGGGGACAGCGAGCTCAGAGACTTGAGGTCAGGGGCCATGTACTCCAGGTGATGAGCCCCCCACACTGGACTGGTCAGGTGGGCCCAGCGCTGCAACACAAAGTAGGAAACATCAGTGATCACAAAGACAGAAGCTCAGGTGATTCTCTGCATTTATCAGAGAAAGCCTACTACATGAATGAAAAGTGCCACCACCGCCCATAGTTGTCACTGCTTACCCAGTGTTACAGATGGTAGAACTGATGAGCCTCTGTCACCATATAACATAACTGTTATAGTACGTGATCCACCACATCGTACATCTTATCGCGTTCTAAATGTGATAGTACAAGCACTATGGCTACAACTAGCCCTGCTAAGTAGAGCGAGCTAGCTGGCACGTTAGTGAGTCATCACATCTCCAAAAATATCAAAAACAATGGAGCAAACTTCTAAGTTGGCTTTACTTGGATAAACTGACCACATATTCAAAGACTAGGTGGTTATTTTATCGCATCTCGCACACATACAGGATCACAACAGTTAACGGAGACTGTATGGGCAGTTTATCAAACAGCTGTTCAACAAGCGAAACACGGGATGTGCAGAAATGTGACGTCTTCACCGCTTTGCCCACCTCGAAACCAGTGAGTGTATGTACACTGTGCTTGCTTGTATTGGGTGAAGGTGTCTGATAATTTGGTCTTCTAATAGAAAACTGAAAAATGCCTAAGAACTGTGTGGTAGGACACACTACCAACAAGGCAAAGAACCCAGAGTTACAGCTTTAAAAGCTGCTGAACAAAATCCAAGCTTTACGAAGACAAAGCGCATACGATGTGAGGCATTAGCAGGAACAACGGGGAAACAAGGATCCTGAGACTGTTAGAAATTAACCCAATTATCTTGTTGGAAGCACGAGAAGTGACGACAGGAGAGGACTGTTTAAAATCAACAGAAAGTTTACTGAAAGTCTGATCATAGTGAAGTCATTACAGCGCTGGGGTCAGAGAGACAGAGCTCCCGCAGGAGATCCGACTTCTCTGAACTCTGAATTAGGTTTTTTACAACACATTTATCTTCTTGGGCTGCTCCGCCCTGGCCAGGGGTGCATCCTTCAATAGTTTGTGATCCTATTGGTCATTTGGTGTGAGTAGGTCAACCCCTGCCTGCGCTTGCTTGCTGATATGTGATCTAGACCAGATGTGTGTGTGCGTGTGTGTGTCTCCGGCACCCTGATCTTGATATCAAGGTGCACTGATCAATGGGTGGCCTGAGTTGCAGGCCCCCTGTGTGTGATGCTAATAAGTATACTAAACTGGCCAGGTGGTCATCTCAGGTTGTGAGCCCCCTGGTGCTGCAGGGCACCCTAAGACAAAGCAGAACTTGGGATATGCTAAATGGGTCGAGGCATGGGTGTAAAACAACTGAGAGAACTGAGGTTAGACTCAAGTGTGCTGACCCAGGTGATAGTAAAAAGGAAGGTTTTAATGGAACAATAAACACAACGTGACAACATAACAGGG